CCCTCCCCCCCCCGCTGCCGCCGCGAGGAAACGGGCAGGACAGATAGGGCAGGTAGCGAGGGAGCCGCGGGAAGGGCCGGGGCTGCCTCCTTAGGGGCGACGAGGTGCCTCGTCCCGCCGTGGCAAGGGCTGCTGCCCCCACCGTCGCTGCAGAGCTGGTTTCGCGCCCGGGATAGGCTCGTGTTACTCCTTGAAACGATAGAATAGGGAATCGGCTTCACTTAGATCGTTTCTTGTCAAATAGCGTATAAATCGAGAGCGTTGCCCCCTAGGAAGGAGTATGGCGCGCTCTGCATTACCCACCTCTGTTTCCAGGCGGTGTGTGTGTGTGTGTGTGTCGGAGGGGGGACCTTGGTCCACGACTGCTGGTTGTGTGGAGTCACGGTCAAGGGCTTTGAGTGATGATAAATGCTGGAGGGAATGGATTTGTTTTCTGGCTTTCCTGTGCCTTTTTGTTTCCCCATCCAAGCTTAGATACGGTATAGGTCTCACCCACGTAACATGCTGCTTTCGGACATAGGCAGAATAACATTTGTAACCTGTGAATCCCTGCCCCCGGGGCGGCACAGGGCTGCGACTCTAGCGGTACATTAGACCTTCCCCGGCTGAGCCAGCCATTTTCTCCCTTCCCAGTACAACTCCGGGTCAGCGTTTCTGTTCATGGGCTCCCGAGTGTCCTTGCTGTGCTCTTGCAGCATCGCTCGTCTGCAAAAGCTTGTTCCTGGTAGGCAGAAGCCAGGGAGAGAAGATGTATCGTGGTGTTCTGAGGGTCCTATAAGGAAGAACCCAAAGTCATCCAAGTACAGTTATTTGGCAATTGCCTCCAGTTTTGGCCTTAATAGTGTTTGAACTTTGGGAGCTATTTTGGATGGGGACAAGAAGTACTTGCTGTTCTCAGCACTGTAGTGAAACCCTGCAACCCTAATTTATCAGAGACAGCATCCAGTGAAGCTAACATAGCTAAAATACAGTTCTGCAAGCTATGATCCTCCTATTATTTAACAGGCTGCTATGTTACACTAGATAGATCAATTATTCCATCTATGAAGTTGTTTGCTTTACTGCCATATAGTTAGAAAATATGTATCTCAAACCTAATTTAATATACCCTCTCATTAACCATCTTACCTTGTATTTAGTAAAGTGTAAAATCATCTCCAGAACGTTTTTGTTTGGAAAATAAGATAGTCTTGCCTACCCTAAAAGACCTTGTGCACACCCATGCAGTGATGCTGCTGCTCTATTGAATGGTCTTGGGTTTTTTTTTTTATGAAATTTACAAAGTAAGTAAAAACTCACTCAGGTGGTAGGTTTCAGGG